ACTCACCTCAGCCTCCCAAAGGTGCAGGATTACAGGCTGAGCCACCGAGCCCGGCAACAGACAAATTTTAAAAAGAAAAAAAAAGTGCCAGTGTTTCCACCTAATTGAAAGGCTGAGGCAGAAGGATCGCCTGAGCCCATCAGATTGATGCTGCAGTGGCAGTGAGCGTGCCACTGCACTCTAGCCTGGGTGACGAGAGAGACTCTGACTAAAAAAAAAAAAAAAAAAGTAATATGATAAAACCATGACTCGTTTGTTTTGTTTTGAGGCAGAGTCTCACTCTGTCATCCAGGCTGGAGTGCAGTGGCATGATCACAGCTCACTATAGCCTTGAACTCCTGGGCTCAGGCAAGCCTCCCTCCTCGGGTTCCCAAGTAGCTGGGAATAAAGGCTTCTGTCACCATGCCTGGCTAATTTTTTGTAGAAGCAAGGTCTCACTATGTTGCCCATGCTGGTCTTGAACTCTTGAGCTCAAGAAATCCTCCTTCCTCAGTCTCCCAAAGTGCTGGGATTACAGGCATGAGCCCATCGTGCTTTTTTTTTTAGTTGGAGTCTCACTCTGTCACCCAGGCTGGAGTGCAGTGGCACACTCATAGCCACCGAGGTATTGACCTGCTGGGTTCCGGCGATCCTTCTGCCTCAGACTTCCAAGTAGCTGGAACTATAGGCACGTGCTACCATTCCTGGCTTAGTTTTTGATATATTGTAGAGACGAGGTCTTGCTAAGTTCCCCGGGCTGGTCTCACACCTGCAGGCTCAAGGAATCCACTTGCCTTGGCCTCCCAAAGCGCTGGGATTACAGGCTGAGCCACCGAGCCCAGTCTAAAGCCATGTTTTAATGTTTGAATTGTAAGTAGAATTCTAGAGCTACAAGGACCCTACTCCTGTGAACCCTGAAATTATATACAAACTTATGTGTGTACAGTATGTATTTTTCTAAGAGAAGGTTTACAATTTTCATTAGATACTCAAAGAGGTTGATGACCAAAAAGTTTAAGAGAAGAACTCTGTCATTTTACATACATTGAAAATGAGACCTACAGAGTAAACTGACTTATCCAAAGTCTCACAACTCACTACTGCTGGAATCTTGGAACTCTTGGTCTACATTATTATTTCCATTGGTCTGTAGTCCCAGTTAATTGGGAAGCTGAGGTAGAAGGATTGCCTGAGCTCAGCAGGTTGCAGCTGCAGTGGCCATGAATGTGCCACCGCACCCTAGCTTGGGCAACAGAGTGAGGCTCCGACTCAAAAGTAAATAAATTAATAAAATAAAATAGATAGGCTGGGCTCCGGTGATCCTTCCGCCTCAACCTTCCAAGTAGCTGGAATTACAGGTGCAGGCTACCATGCCTGGCTCATTTTTTGATTGATTGTAGAGATAAGGTCTCACCAAGTTGCCCAGGTGGGTCTCGAACCCACGGGCTCAGGCAATCCACTCACCTCAGCCTCTCAAAGGCACAGGATTAGAGGCTGAGCCACCGAACCCAGCTTTTTTTTTTTTTTTTTTTTTTTGGTGGAGGCAGAATCTCACTATGTTGCTCAGGCTGTTCTCAAAACTTCTGGCCTCAAGTGATCCTCCTGCCTCAGCCTCCCAAAGTGCTGGGAATACAGGTGTAATCCCACATACTGTGCCTGGCCCGCACATTTGTATTTATATTTAGATATCTAGGTATAGACAAGCACATAGACTAAACATAACACTGTAAGAGTGGGGTTACATAGTTACCTGGTGCTTCTCAGATTCCTGGATTCCCCAGTGAATACAGTCCTCTGGTATGGAACTGTATGTATACATCTATTTTGTAATTAAAATCATGAGAGAGTCTTACTCACCTATGGCAATAGTCTTAATATCAACAAGATAGGCCAGTTTCTTATTATCCTCCATTCCTGGCTGATGCCTCTCATTAATACGAACGCTGAAACATGAAGGGTGAGGTAAGGCCAAATGGGTTGAGGTGGGTGGAATGTTTACTAAGGGCTCTGAAGTACCACATGGGATGCAGTTTTTATTTATTATCTATTTTTTTGAGTCAGGATCTCACTCTGCCCCCCAGGCTGGAGTGCAGTGACATAATCAGGGCTCAGTGCAACCTTGACCTTCTAGGTTCAAGCAATCCTCCCACCTCAACTGCCCAAGTAGCTGGGACTACAAGCACATGCCACCACGCCCAGCTAATTTTTTTGATTTTTTTGTAGAAATAAGGTCTCACTATGTTGCCCAAGGTGGTCTCGAACTCCTGGGCTCAAGCAATCCTCCCACCTCGGCCTCCCAAAGTGCTGGGATTAGAGGTATGAGCCACTGTACCCAGTCATGGGATGAAGTTTTTAGATTAATCCAAGGACACAGAATCTTCAAAAAGGAATCTTTCTGGGTTTTTGGGATTTAGAGAATCTCATGATATTACCTGATGAGGCGGGGGTTTGTGAATTCAGTGCGTACGGAACCCAAGGCCTCGTTGTTCCCATATTCCACCAGGGTTAGCTCTCCAGCATTGAAGATCATACACACCTGGTGGGAGCGGGCTGGTTACACAGTGGAAGGGCAGTGCAGAGAGGACAGGAAGGGGGTGCCGTCAGTTCCCAGTGGCGACCACTTGCCCGGCTCTCCTGCCTAGCTCACCCTTTCCTTTCTTCCTTGCCGTCTTCCCATCCCTTGCCACTTGCTATCTTTCTCGCCCAGAAGCCAGAAGGAGGCTTACCAGGAGGGGGACACGCTCTACTCACCTTCTCATTTTCAAAGAAATACTTCTCATTGCCGCCAGATCCCTGCCAGGCCACCTGTAATTAAGCAATATGCACAATTACCCAAGACAGTGCTGGGAAAATGACAGGGTGGGAGGCAGAGAGATCGTGTTTAGGGAGACTTTGGCACTGCACAAAAGAGGTGTTCTGTCAGAATTTGCTCTGGTCCCAGTGATTCTGAGAGATGATGCAAGACAGTTCAAATACGGTGATTCATACTCCAGGATTCTAAATCTCCTGGTCTCCCTCCCTGAAACCAGGTCCCCTACACCAATATGTTAGTGTGTCCCATGGAGATGCTACCCCCTGGGACTTTGGGTCCCCAGAATTAGCAAGCCAAGATGCCTCATTTCCCAGCCCCATGTTGGGCGCCTACCTCACTAAGGCGATTAGTGTTCAGGTCCCCCAGCAGCAGTGTGTCTGATGTGTGGGCCACCAAGTAGCGCTCCTTCCCCAGGATTTTCACCTCCTCCACCTCATAGCCATAGTGTGACTTGAGCACCACACGGGTTCCCGATGACAGGTTCTTCACAATCACCTTGATCAAGGACAAGTCTGAGACCCTCAGGCTTCCCCAGCACCGAAAGGGGTGAAAACATGTGCCCCTGCCCATCCCCACAATGCTCAACAAAGTTAATATTGTGTGTCCTCTCCTAGCCCAGAATACTGTTGACAATAATGATGGCTTACATTTACATGGAGCTTTACTATTTATGAAATGCTTTCCTATATTAGCTCCTGTGATGCTCATAAGACATAAGATTCTAAAAGTTCCTGTCTATCTATCCATCTGGAGATAGGGTCTCACTACGCTGCCCAGGCTGTTGGTCTCAAACTCCTAGCTCAAACAAACCTACTGCCTCAGCATTTCAAGTAGCTGGGACTATAGGCATGAGTCATTGTGTCTGGCTAACATTTTTTGGGAAGAAGTCTCACTCTGTCACCCAACCTGGAGTGCAGTGGTACACGCTTGCAGCCTTGACCTGCTAGGCTCAGGCAATCCTCCCACCTTAGCCTTCCAAATGAATTCGGCTAATTTTTTTATTTATTGTAGAGACGAGGTCTTGCCAAGTTGCCCAGGTTGCTCTCAAATCCCTGGACTCAGGCAATCCTCTCGCCTCAGTCTCCCAAAGTGCTAGAAGTACAGGTGTGAGCCATCACGCCTGGCTACATTTTTAAAAATACGTCTGTATCCTCTGCTATAATAATCTTGGTTGGCCAGGCTCGGTGGCTCAGCCTGTAATCCCAGCACTTTGGGAGGGCAAGGCGAGAGGATTGCCTGAGCCCGCGGGTTCAAGACCCGCCCGGGGAACTTGGCGAGACCTGTCTCTACAATAAATAGAAAATTAGCTGGGCGTGGTAGCGCATGCCTATAGTTCTAGTTACTTGGAAGGCTGAGGAGGAAGAATCGCCAGAGCCCAGCAGGTTGAGGCTGCAGTGGCCGGGAGCATGCCACTGCCCTCCAGCTTGGGTGACAGAGAGAGACTCCAACTCAAAAAAAAAAAATCTTCTTGGTTAAAGATCAATGTCTTACAGATAATTATCTGTGCACTCTCAATGTCTAATGTTGCTGACACAGTAGAGAACGAATAAATGCTTCTGGAGAAAAGAATGAAGAAACCAAGAACAATAAATGGAAGGAAAGAAGAACAGAGGTAGAGAGTAGAGAAAAGTGGGCTCCCACTGAGCAACACCATACACAGTAACCTCAGGGACCTCAAAACAACAGAATTCACTTTGGTAATCTTGTTTATCAAATTCCCCAGTTGACAATGTCTATGCAGGAAGGTGTGAACGGCAATCTCTGTACCCCATACGCCTGGCCTGGTACTTACAACTTTTCTTTTTTTTTTTTTTTGAGTTGGAGTCTCACTCTGTCGCCCAGACTAGAGTGCAGTGGCTGCTCCCGGCCACAGCAGCCTCGACCTGCTGGGCTCCGGCGATCCTTCCGCCTCAGCCTTCCACGTAGCTGGAACTATAGGTGCCCGCTACCATGCCCGGCTAATTTTTTGATTTATTGTAGAGATGAGGTCTCACCTGCCCAGGTGGGTCTCGAACCCGCAGGCTCAGCCAATCCACTCACCTCAGCCTCCCAAAGGCACAGGATTACAGGCTGAGCCACCGAGCATGGCAACTTTTCTTACAATAAAGCTGCAAGAACTATAGGAGGAAAATTGCCAGGCTGCCCTGACATAGTCTGCTCCCCAGAAGTGCTCTGCCAGAGGGGTGAAGGTTAAATTCGAGACTGTGCTTATGGCCAGAAGACCAGGAAGTGCTTCAAGAACGAAGGAGCCACTTAACCTCTGAGCACAGCAGGTGATCAGCTGCTTACCTGGCTAGGTCCTACATACGTCAACTCAAACTTGTTCTTGTAAATGCTCCTTCGGAGGCAGCAGTCAAACTGCTCTACCCCACCACAGAGTGTGCCCTGGAAGGGAAGGTGACAGCATAAAATGGTGACACACACAAAACACAGGCGTGAGGAGAGCACCTAGAGACATCCTCAAAACCTAGGCTGTAGAATCTAGAGAAGAGAGGGCAGCAAAAGGGTTGGCAGCTTTGGGAAGAACCAAAAGGGGAGAGGCTGCAGTCACAGGACCCAAGGGGACCACATGTCGATGGGATGTGGGAGAAATCTGTCCTCCCTATACAACCCTCTGTCCCTTTGGCCTCCAATAAAGTATGAACTTCTCTTCCCTGCCTTTAACACCAGATTCTTAGGTTTAAGGTCAAAAGAAAAGAAGAGATTCTCTAGTGTTAGGGGAGAGTGCTTTAGGATAAAGCAGGATGTTTTTCTAGTTTGGCCAAAGTCACCAATCCAAAAAGGGATTGCTAGTAACATACCACACAGAGCCGTGAGCCATCCCGCTTCCAGGCCAAGGCAGTGACAGTGTATAAGTTGGCGATCTCCTTGGGCTTTGCCTCTTCCCAGATGCTTCTTCGAGGGCTCCAGTTGAGCACCCTAAGTCTGAAATAAAGTAATAAAGTACATGGCTTTTAGAAGAGATGGAGGCTGAGCAAAGGAGTGAAGATGGCTGGCAGCTGAAGGAAATTCATCTTGCTGTATCAGGGAAGGAAGGAAATGAAAGAGAACAGACAAGCTAGGCAGGCCAGAAGGAGAGGTGCAAAGGAAGTAAGCTGAGAAAATCAAGGCAAAATGTGGGGTAAGCACAGAAAACAAAAGATGAGGGCAAGTGAGAAAATGAGCTCTTAGAAGTAAAGAAATGTAGAAAAGGAAGATAAACGGTAGGAGTCAGAGAAGAAACAAACAAACAGGAGGGAACACATAAGAATGAAGGGGACAGGAAGAGGACTGACAAAGCTGAGGATAAACACTTTCCAAAGAAGTGATGAGACTAGACTCTGGTTGTTTATCTGCTGTTCCACCATTCATTCATTCGCCAAACATTTGAGCAAACATTATGTGCTACATGCTAATCCAGGCACTGAAGGTACAAAGAGAATACCAAGTCCACTTCTCAAGAACTCTTCAATTTTACTAGTTTGATGCAAACAACTAACATGGATGTAAAGTGATAAACTCTAAGCCAGTGGGTCAAAAGGGGCAATGGGAACACAAAGAAAGTGGAGGTGAATTCTGCCATTGGATCCCTGGGAGAAGCACAAAGTAAGGGCTCCCCACTGTGTGGAACTGCCAGTGCACCAACGCATGGTGGGAGCAGGGAGAGGAATGTATATATATCACAAACTGGGCATCTCTTTCAACACACATTTGCCTCTGATCCTGTCTCTCCCAGGTTCAGAGTAGCTTGGCTAAGGCAGAGGGTGTTCGTGGGGAGAGCAGGCAATAGATAAGACTGGAAAGGGAACCCACCTGTCATAACTTCCCAGCACAACGGACTGGCCCCCAGGACTTGCCACAGCTGTGGTGAACTCCCGCTCCTGAGGGTCTCGGCTATAATCAAAGGTTTGTAGTGCATGGCCTTCCTTTCCATAGGCCACGATCCTTCGATCACAGCCTGCAGCCACGATGCTGTTGGCTGCCCATGCCAAGGCATAGGGTGGGCATGGGTGGTTCACCAACTTCCCCTAAGACAGAAACAGAGGGTTTCAGTCATTCTGAGGATGCCACCCAGAGATTCCTAATTCCTGGCACCTGATACACTCACCCTGACCATCCCACTCTGCAGAGATCCTTCTCCCCACATTCCCACCCTAATCTTTCTGCTTCATACTCACATACGCACATGCAACATACACACTTGTTGACTTTGTGCTCTAGAAAAACCTCAAAACACTTGTGTGTTAGAGATCTTTAATATGCACCTAGTACGCGGGTTCGAGACCCACCCGGGCAGCGAGACCTCATCTCTACAATAAATAAATAAATAATCAGCCGGGCGTGGTAGTGCATGTCTGTAATTCTGACTACTTGGAAGGCTGAGGCCGAAGGATCGCTGGAGCCCAGCAGGTCGAGGCTGCGGTGGCCGGGAGCGGCCACTGCACTCCAGTATGGGCGACAGAGTGAGACTCTAACTCAAAAAAAAAAAAAAATGCACCTAGTAAAGTCCCCTAAAGGAGAGGCCCTATGCATTAACCAACACTGTTTAGGCCCACAGAGAACACATTGCTCCCTTTTTCAGGAGCATTAAATTTAATTAACTACTACATGAGTCATTTTTTTTTCTTGAGTTGGAGTCTCACTCTGTTGCCCAGGCTGGAGTGCAAGGGCCACACTCACAGCCACCCCAGTATCGATCTACTGGGCTCCAGTGATCCTTCTGCCTTAGCCTTCCAAGGAGCCGGAACTACAGGTGTGCACTACCATGCCTGGCTAATTTTTTATTTTTACTGTACAGACAAGGTCTTGCCAAGTTGCCCAGGCTGGTCTTGAACCCACAGGCTCAAGCAATCCATTTGCTCTGGCCTCCCAAAGTGCTGGGATTACAGGCTGGGCCACTGAGCCCGGCATGAGTAATTCTTAATGTAAATGATTCAAACAATACAGAATCATATAAAGTAAAATAGGAAAGTTTCCTTTAATCCTCCATCTTTCCCTCTTGCCTGCCTTAGAGTAAACTGTTAACTCTTTTTTCTTTTTTTTTTTTTGAGTTGGAGTGCAGTGGCACTCAGACTGGAGTGCAGTGGCCGTTCCTGGTCATCGCAGCCTCAACCTGCTGGGCTCTGGCGATCCTTCCGCCTCAGCCTTCCGAGTAGCTGGAACTACAGGCGTGTGCTACCATGCTCAGCTAATTTTTTTTTAATTTATTGTAGAGATGAGGTCTCGCCAAGTTGCCCAGGCGGGTCTTGAAGCCGCGGGCTTAGGCAATCCGCTCACCTCGGCCTCCCAAAGCGCTGGCATTACAGGCTAAGCCACCGAGCCCGTCCTCTTTTTTCTTTCTATATATATATTTTTTTTACATAAGTGGGAATAACTTTCACTTTCCACCCCCCTCAGAGTGTTTGTCACAAGGTCCCATCCACCTGAGTCTCTCCTCCTTACAAACAGGAAGCCCCAGTCTCCTAAACACTAATCCTCTCTGTGACCACATCCAACTTCCTCTCCCTGAGGCCTTGCTCCTCCAGCCTCCTCCCTCAGGATGTCAGTCCAGATGTCTTAGATGTCCAGCCCCCTAGGAGGACTCCTGGGAGTTCCTCGTGCCCATTTAGTCTTACCTGTGACTCTCCAGAGCCTTCGTCATCAAAAAAATACCTAACAATGGTACCATCTGCATGACCAGAGAGAAGTCCTTTCCCAGAGCAACTAAAAAAGGGGAAAAGGAAGACAGGAGAGATACACAGGAAGAGATCACAGTATTCCACCTCACCACGAAAGCCCCGTTCTCTGTCAAACACAGCCCTGCCTGTGGCTCCTGCTACCAGCCCCACCCATCTTTCATACTGTGTCTCCCAATCCAGGCTACCCCTCAGTTTTTTCCCAGCATTTCCAAGTGCTTATGATACCTTATTCCTGACTCACTTTGTTGTCAGTGACACCACGTAAGACTCTGTCCCATAGATGGTAGACGATTTATTAGTTTTGGTGTTTGCTAAACGAACCTGGAAATGGGAGAATGGACACAAGTCTAGTTAGGCCACTTTGAATTTCACCCAGTCCCTAAGATAAAAGGAAACAAAACTGGCCCCATGCGTTTTCCCCTAGTACACAAATGACTCTCAGGAAGAAGATGAACCAAATTCCTCTGTCCAGAACCACCATGCCTCCCTACCATTTCTCCCACCTCTCCCATTTCCCCTGCCTCCTTTACCTTCCCTTCAGCCAGGCCAAAGATAATAATGTGCTCCGCTGGCCACTGCAGACAAGTGACGGCACTCTATGAGAGAAGGGATGAAAGGGACAACCCCACCCATGTGAGTCAGCATAGCTGGAACAAGCTGGACACCCACCACGTACCACTCCAATAAACAGGGAAGAAGAGGAGGGGACATGTGCGGCTCGAAGGGGGACAGCAGGTGACGAGGAGAGTCAGGTGTCACCACCTGGCAGTAGGCAACATCAGACTCAGATGTTGGAAAATGCAACTCCCGACTGGATTTATAAGCAGATACACTGATACACGCTTGCTCATCCTAAGCTCCCAGGGACTGGTCTGAACTTTGAACTTTACCGTCTGGTTGAACTTGTTGCAGATAACCTTCTTGTCACCCCTGTCAAACAAAAGGAGGGAACCCTATTAACCACCACTCCACAAGCAAATTGCCAAAAATAAAGCCAAAGGAAGGAAAGAAAAGAGCAGATCCCTTCCCCGCCCCACTAGTGTTTCCGACCGCTCTGCGGGAGCCCCAAAAGGTGTCCGAAGGGACCCTGAGTAGCTACGTTAACAGCAGCGACACAAGGACACTTTGAGCTGCCCAGGAGCTCACAGGGCCTCCCATCGACCCCACTGGCTCCTCCAGGGACAGGACTGCAGAACAGGCGGGCAGGCAGAGGCGGGGGCAGCACCAGAAGGCTCTGGGCAGTCTCTGCCTACTGGCCCCAGCTCGGCTCCTCTACCTCCCTCTGCCCCCTGCCCAGTGAGGCATTTTTCGCGCCTTCGCCTTCTTTTGAGGGCCATCCCTTCTCCCGTCTCTATCCTCACCAGTCTTCTCCAATCTTGTAGACATAGATGATGTTGTCAGTCTGTCCTATGGCAATTTTAGTGGAGTCAGGAGAAAAAGCCATGCCCTTTACCATATAGCTCTTCCTGCCATACTAGGAGTTAGAAGGAAAAAGAAGTCATGAGGACACGTGAAAAAGAAAAGGTGCATGTATGCTCTACAGGCCTGAGGGGTTTCCACTGATAAAAGGTGGGGTAGTATGTCGTATGCCCAGGGCTAGGAGGCTGGCTGGGCGTCCCAGGCTCGTAAGGTCCCAGTGACAGGTAAAGGCATGCACGAACCCTTTCTTCACCTTCATGTCCGCTGGTTTGGTAGGGAATTTATCCCTCCGTTCTCCGTGTTCATCATACAGCAATACCACTCGGTCCACCGTACAGACAGCAAATTTGGCGTTGTTCTGGGACCAAGCCATGCAGGTCACCTTTGCAGCTGCATCCTGCAGAGCCAAAGGGGTAAAAATAAACCCAGGTGCTGGTCGCAAGTGCCGAAAGCATCTCCAGTTCCACTAACTTTAGTGTGACTTGGGCCGACTTTCTTGCTGCCACAGCCCTGGTCTCCAAGACCATGAGACCCTGGACTGTGATGACTATGTGCTTCTGGAGGGCCCACAGCACGACCGCATTGAGAGGTGCTAATGGACTGCATCACTGAACCCCACAGTGGCCTCCTCGGTCCTATGTCCCAGGTCTGCTGCTGAAACACATTCGATTGGTCTGACAAGTCTTGGCCTTCAGCCATTCATTCAATTAGTATTTTTCGAGCTAGGCTTGGTGGCTCAGCCTGTAATCCCACGCCTTTGGGAGGCTGAGGTGAGTGGATTGCCTGCGCCTGCGGGTTCGAGACCCGCCTGGGCAGCGAGACCTCATCGCTACAATAAATCAAAAAATCGGCTGGGCATGGTAGCACATGCCTGTAATTCCGGCTACTCAGAAGGCCGAGGTGGAAGGATTGCCGGAGCCCAGTAGGCGAGGCTGCGGTGGCCAGGAGTGGCCACTGCACTCCAGTCTGGGTGACCGAGTAAGACTCCAACTCAAAAAAAAAAAAAAAAAATTTTTTTCGAGCATCCTACTGAGAAAGGCACTTGGCTGGGGGCTGAAAGACGAAGAGCAAAACACAGATCCTGCCTCTGAATCTAATAAGATGGTGCAAAGAAGAAAGAGTCCCATGAGAAAAATACATACAAAATGCGGAAACAGTTTAGAGAAGCTTGGGAGAATTTTATGCTTAAATGACCAAAATCAGACATTGGAAAATGAATGCAGTTGAGTGGGAAATTATCTGAGATGGAAGGAATGGCCTGAGCAAAGGCAAGTTCTGGTTAAGAAGCAGCGATTTAAGCCCGGCACAGTGGCTCACCCCTGTAATCCCAGCACTTCGGGAGGCAGAGGCAAGAGGATTGCCTGAGTTCAGAGGTTCAAGACCAGCCTCAGCAATTTGGTGAGATCTGGTCTCTACAATAAATTAAAAAATTAGCCGGGCATGGTGGAATACACCTGTGGTTCCAGCTACTTGGGAGGTTGAGGTGGAAGGATCACCTGAGCTCAGCAGGTCCAAGCTGCGGTGGCCATGAGCATGCCACTGCACTCCAGCCTGGGTGACAGAGTGAGACTCGGATTAAAAAAAAAGTAGTGATTTAGTTTATCTGAAACTACTTTGAAAACAGTGGCATGAGGGAGGTCAGGTAAGAAAAGCAGACTGGGGCCAGGTTGGGAAGGGTTTTGAAGACAGGCAAGGAACCTGGGCTTATTTGGCAGGAAAGAGAGAGGCAGTGAAAGTTCTGGAATAGGGAATACAATAATTATAGAGCTGAGACTGAAGATGAGCAATGACACTTTTTCCCTTCTTTGCAGAAGCCCAAGTTAGAAGACATCATTTCCTAGAGAACTCTTCTTACCAGAGCTGCCCCTTCCAACATTACCTGTGGTCCTCTCTGGTTTTGCTACCATTAACTTCCTTGAAACAGGAAGACTAGCTTCTGCTCCAATTAAGTATTTGGACACTACACTTCTGGCTTAAAACATTAACTTTTTACTCCAAACCCACCTGTCACCAGAGTCTGAAGGAAAAAGGCTCTTTTCTCTCAAATCCTCCAACCCCCACCCCCTGCCCCACCCTCTATCACATCAGCTTAAAAGAACTGAGCTCCCCACCAGCCTCTGCAGATCAGCAAGCTTCAGCTCTGCCCTGTCCTGGGCATTCGGCCCTCCCTGCATCATGATGTCATCTTGAGAGACTGAAGGAGGATTTCTCTTCCAATTTCTCCATTAGGACAAGGGAATCTTTAAATTACAGATGCAGGAGGCAGCTTGCTGGGTTGAGCACAACTCTCTTTTGTTCTAATTTCCTTCTGTTGTCCAAATGCCACATCCTCTGTGACTTCCAAAACCAATTAACCCCTCTTTTTCTACAACGTGCACCTCCCTGAGGATTAAATGAGGCAGAGAATGGAATCACAGCTAGCCTGCAACAAGCAATTGCCACAGATCAGGCATTTCAGTAAGTGCTTGACATGGACAATCACAGCACTGAGGCACACGCTGTTACTATCTCCTTTTGCAGATGGTGAACAGAAGCACAGAAAGGCTCATAATTTGCCCAACTCTGCGGACAGCTTATAAGTGGCAGAACCAAGATTTAAATCCATGTTGCCATAAAACACATCCCCACCTTCTTTATGCACATCATCCTGATACACATCACGCACAGGCTTTTTTACCCCTTTGAGTTGGGTCTCACTGTCACCCAGGCTGGAGTGCAGTGGCACACTCATGGCCACCACAGCCTCCACCTCCTTGAGTTCAGGCGATCCTTCTGCCTCAGCCTCCCAAGTAGCTGGGACCACAAGTGCATTCCACCATGCCCAGCAATTTTTTGATTTGTTGGGAAAAGGTCTCACTATGTTGCCAAGGCTGGTCTCCCGAGCTCCAGTGATCCTCCTGTTTCAGCCTCCCAAAGTGCTGGGATGACAGGCATGAGCCTCTGTGCCTGGCCCCCATGCATGATTTTGCAACTCCAGGTATTAAGAGAAACTGTTGATCCAAGGACTTGAACAGATTGTCAAAATATTAACTTATCATATCAAGTTAAAGAGAAACCGCATTTTTATTCTTTTTTTTTTTTTATTGAGAAGACAGAAAAGCTCCGGTGGGGGGGGATGGCCTCTTGTTTTTAATGAGTCAGGGGTCTCACTGTGTTGCCCAGGCTGAGGATAGCGGCACAATCACGCTCTCGGCAGCCTCGACCAACCCAGCTCAGGCGATCCCGCCTCAGTCTCCGTGCAGCTGGACCGAAGGCGCGCACCACCACGTCCGACTAAGTTTCAGCCTTTTTCTGCAGACGCGAGGTCTCGCTACGTGGGCCCTGCTGGTCTCGACCTCCCGGGCTCACGCGATCCTCCCGCCCCGGCCTCCC